CAGGGAAAGGAACTACAAGGTTACCCCTTGGCTCAGGGACTGAGGATTCTAACCCACATCTAACCCAGGGGACATCGGGGAAGGGGAAGCGGGGAGGGGGAGGAGGAGGAAAATGCAAAGCCCAGAGCTGAGGAAATCTCATACAGGCATCTCTTGCTACCCAAATCTATTTGATTTACAAGCTGTGTATACTGAACTCTGAAGGTACTCAGATAGCTACAGATACTACGCTATCTCACCTAACTTCGTTCGTGAGTTTTGGATAGCAAGTGGCAAGAGTTCTGAAAGCAAGGGATTCCTCTGAATTCATCAGACCCCGACTACAGAGAGGGACAACTTGGGTGGTTTCAGTAGCAAAGGATACCTATAATTATCAACGATACTGCATAAACCCCTGGATCTAGCCATATCTGAAGCTAGTTTAACCATAACCTTTCCAATTGCATGCAGTAAACTCCCTATTCTGGCTGAAATCAACCAGGGTTCTGGCAGCTAGAAGTATGAGTACTCACGCATGTGTAAACACGCACAGACGTGCATACACACCCCTCCCAAACCCCACCCTTAATTCTCCCATGGCAGAGTCCACTTCCGAAGGAAAACCTACCTCCTTCCAAGGGTCTCCGGCTACCCCACTCTCTTTGCTCTTCTTTTTCTTCCTTTTCGGAGCTGACTCCTCGATGACCGGCTGCTCTACCTTCTTCTTGGACTTCATCTTTTTTTTCAAGGGGGCCTTCGGGCCATCTCCTATGGGGATGTATTCCGGAGCCTCAGCTTTGGCTGGCTTCTTTTTCCTTCCTTTCCTAGGGCTGCTCTCCATGGACCTGGAGGGCTGAGAGTGGCCTGGGAGGGCCTCTCCCTCCTGGTGGATTTTTTTTTTCTTCTTCACTTTCTCACTGTGTTCCCTGGGGCTCTTCTGCTTCCGTTTCTGCCCCACGGCTGCCTGTTCCTCACCCTCCTTCCCCACTGAGCAAGTGTCCCCAGCATCCCCGGCCTCAAAGACCCAAGGGTCCTGGACTGAGAAGGCTGTAGGGTCCTGGGCCCCCTTTTTTTCCTTCTTGTGTTTTTTGAGCTTCTTGCCAAATCTGGTTTCCTCCTTACCCTGTCTGGGGTCTGAGGAGGTTTTCGGCCCAGAGGCATGGGACATGGCCAGAGGTGACTTCTTCTTTTTCTTCTCTCCACTGACGAGCTCTAAGTGGCCAAGTACCTGCTTCCTGGGGCTGCATGACTTCTCTGTCCGCCTGGCACGCAGCATGGTCTCAGATTCTACTTGCTCCTCACAAAGCGTGCTGACGCTCTTCTTTTTCTTCTTTTTCTTCACTAGAGGCATCTCAGGTGCCTGCCCATGGACCAAACTCTTACAGGGGGATGTGGCTCTTACAGGAGAAACATCAGCAAAGTAATCTTCATTGTTTAAAACTGAGCGCTGAGTCCCTGGTTCTTTAACCACTTTCTTCTTCTTCTTTTTCTTCTTCTTCTCTGGAGGCCCAGCGAACAGGTCTACTTTGTGTGTCTTGGTGATCATTCCTGAAAAAAGAAATGGTACAGGTTACCCCTACAGCAAGCCATCCTGTGTTCAAGTCTACTAAGCAATTGCCATGAACCATTTCTGTGAGTGGGTGGTCTAAGTGTTAGGGGATAGGGAAAATGGACATGATTCCTTTAGAACAAAAAAAAGGAATACAATAGAAACAGCATAAATTTTCAATCCAGACAGCCCTAGGTTCAAACCTAAATGGCTCTCTCACTTTAAGTAAATCAGCTAACCTCCCTAAGCCTCAATTTCTCCATCTGGAAAATGGGGGAACACCTGCTTCCTCAAAGGGATGTTGGAAGAATAAATGAGATAATCCATGGAAAGTGCTTGGTGCATTGTTAATTCCCTTTTTCTTTTTTCAAGATAGTCTTGCTCTGTCACCCAGGCTGGAGTGCAGTGGTGCGATCAAGGCTCACTGCAACCTCCACCTCCTGGGTTCAAGTGATTCTCCTGCCTCAGCCTTTCCTGAGTAGCTGAGATAACAGGCACCTTCGATCATGCCCGGCTAAGTTTTTCTTTCTTTTTTAGTAGAGATGGGATTTCACCATGTTGGCCAGGCTGGTCTCGAACTCCTGACCTCAAGTGACCACCTGTGTCAACCTCCCAAAGTGCTGGGATTACAGGCATGAGCCACTGTGCCTGACCTAGTTTCACTGTTTTTGAAATTTCAAGTTGATTGCCAACACTGAATGAGTCACAATGATACAGAGTACCGAGGGTACCCCAGCTTGTCTTGGACAGATGTCATGGAAGCACCTGTGCGAATGGGCTGGGGTCCTCAATACCCTTCAGCGTCCAGCTGGTCCACTTCTCTCACTCCAGTCCCCAGCCGAGTTCCTGCTGCTCCCTGCACTAGACATTCCCAGAATCTAGAAGCAAAATATCCCCTCACAGGAGGTTAGGATTATGGGAGAGAAAGGAAGAGCTTCTCCATCCTGCAGCCCTCCTCAGCTTCAGAACCTAGAGGGTCCACACTGGAGCTGGCTCTCTTAGCAGCTTCAAAGAGCCAGGCCAGGCCTGAGCTACAGGTCAAGTTCATTCATAACCCACTCCAGGAGCACCTGGAGAGTCAACGGAATAACTACACTCACTCATTCATTCATTCCTGTCTATCCTGTTTCCTGGTTTATTTCCAGTGTCCTACTCAGTGCCTGGCACATGGCAGGTGCTCAATAAGTACTCACTGAATGAATGAATACATGCTAGAGATGCAGAGATGAACAAGGTAAAACATCACCCATAAAGAAGCACGTAGGTGTAGGAGGGAATGAGGTGTAATAACAATGATACAGGCGATAAAAGCAAGGACGGGGTAAGGTCGGGGTGGTGGAGGTTATGTAACCTGTCCTACCAGTTGTCAGGAAAATTTCTGAAGAATAACTGCAGGATGGTGGTATTAATCCCTAAGACAAAGGCACTGAAGGCAAGCAGCTGAAGGGCTGAGGGGAGAGGCTTGATTGGACAGATGCTTTGGAGATGTTCACAGGACAGATGAATATATGGAGGAGGTGTTTGGGTGGTAGGGGTGACATAAATTTAGGAAGATATGCGTGGTGATTAAGCCTTGAACAGAACAAGCCTGAGACAAGACCTCAAGAAATACAGTAGTCCCTTACCAAGAACCAGCTCAGCCGGGAGACTCCCACACAGGACGGGCTGAAGGTGTTGCAAGGCAGAGAGGCAGTGACCCAGATAGACAACAGAGTGGGTCTACTCTGGGGACCAACAGCCTGAGAGTCTGCGACGCTTGCTGCTCTCCAAGACTGAAAGCCCTGGGCAGAGACCCATCCACGTTATTTATTTGCTCTTTTACAGGTGATTCGTATTAACCACAGGTGTTTTCAATATACACGTAACTCAGGCATATACCAGGCAGGCAGCTGTTGCCTGCCTACGACTAATTACAAAGTACAAGCATCCTCCACAAAGGAGTCACGAGGGAGGGTAAACTGAATGTTCCTCAACCGTGCCTCAAATCCCAGTTTCCCTTCCCAGGTTTCAGTTACCCCTGGTTAACCCTGGTCCCAAAATAGGTGAGCACAGTACAGGAGAAGATATTTTGAGAGGCAGACCACAGGTAACTTTTATTACAGTATACTGTAATTGTTCTGTTTTATTACTAGCTAGATCGTTGGTAATCTTTTATGGTATCTTTTTTTGAGAAAAGGTCTCACTATGTTGCCCAGGCTGGAGTGCAGTGGCATGATCTCGGCTCACTGCGACCTACACCTCCCAGGTTCAAGCAATTCTCACGCCTCAGCCTCCCAAATAGCTGGGATTACAGGAAATGTACTACAGGCTCGGCTAATTTTTGTATTTTTAGTAGGGACAGGTTTTCACTATGTTGGCCAGGCTGGTCTCCGACTCCCGGCCTCAGGTGATCCGCCCGCCTCGGCCTCCCAAAGTGTTAGGAATACAGGCGTGAGCCACCATGCCCAGCCCTACTGTGCCTAATTTATAAACTTTGTCATGGGTAGTATACAAAGGAAAAAAAATATATTTAGGGTTCAGTACTATTTGTGGTTTCAGGTATCCACAGGGTGTTTAGAAACGTACTGACCGCGGATAAGGGGAGAGCAGAACTATTGCATTGGCATTTAAATAAGCTGGCAGAGGAAAAGGGGCTTGCCAACGAGAAGGCGCAAACCTGTAAAGAGCGTAGTCAAGAAAGCCAAGACGACTTCTGAATAGGGGAGTGGCCAAGAGATCTGTTAAGAACAAAGAATCCACCTGGAGGTTGTGGATCAACTCTTAAGCCCCTTCTCTCCCCATCTCTGCCACTTAGAAAATTATTGCATCCTCCTCTCTAGATCTGCGACCAAATGTATTCACTCTTTCAAGGAGAAAGGAAAAGAACATTACAGTGCAACACAAACGCTTTCTCCAAAAGCGCCGTTTAAGTTCCCGCGGCAGCCATGTGAGGATCACAGTGAATACACGGCCTCACAAGCTCCCGAGACTTTAATGATTCACTTGCCCTAGGTTCCAAAACCAGCAAGTGGAAAACGAAGATTCGAATTCCGCCCACAAGACTCCAAATCCTGTGCAGCAACACCCCACTCCCCCGCAGGATCACCAGTAGGACGCGCGGGAGCCAGGAAGTGAGGTCTGTGCCTCCAAGGATTCCATGCGCCAAAGCCTCCGCAGCAACAGACAGGGAGGGATTACGTGGGGTACCAGGCCCGGCTCCGAGGCGGGAAAACTTCCTGGAGGCGGCGGCCTCAGGCCGCGGCGGGTGCACAACTGGAGGGGTCGGATTTGGGAATGTGGGTGGTTCGCTTTTCCCTCTCTTCTCCGGGGCGCACTTCCGCAGGTGCAAACACCGAACCCGCCCGCCTGAAACGCGCACTGGCACTCACCCGTGGGCCAAACTTCCGCGCCTCCACGTGAGAGCCCGCTTCGCGGTGACCCGGAAGTCCACTTTGAGTCTCCAGCACACCCTCTCCGGTTCCGGCTTCTTCCGGGTCGCGGCCTTCCGGCGAACGCGGTTACCTTGGAAACCGTGGCCATGGCAGCGCCACGGCAGGTCCCCAGCTACAATGTTCAGCACAAGCCCAGCAGCTCTGCAAACTCGTCGTTCACCCGGACGCCGGTGCACAACTTGTCTCTCGGGTCTCGCGAGCTGCCTATCTCGCCATGGCAGGTCGCCGAGCCGTCGGGCAAGAATCTGTGGGAGCAGATCTGCGAGGGTAGGCAGCCCGGGCTGGCCGAGAGGGGCGGGACCTGGGCGGCCTGGCGGGGGCCGCGCTGGGGTAGCGCCCTCTGTGCGCCAGGCGGCTGACTTGCGGGGCCGCCGGGCAGCCGCTCCAGGGGCCCAGGCTCCGCATTTTACACATGGGGAAACTGAGGCTTGGAGGGGCTGGCCCGAGGTTACGCAGCGCGGCCTCCAACCGCGATCCGTAATGAGGTCAAAGGCAAGGGAACGGCGAGGGAAAGCAGAATCAAGAAAACTATGCGGCGTGGACCAGCAGTTTCTGAACCTCGTTTAGTGAACGGAAAAGAATTGCTGGGGCGGGGAGGAGGATCTTGTTAAAAACATAGGTTCCCAGGCCCCGCCCATAGAGCGTCAAATTGGGAGTCAGGGAATCTGCACTTTTAAAAAGAGCACCCCAGGCCGGGGACCGTGGCTCACGCCTGTAATCCCAGCACTTTGGGAGGCCGAGGCGGGCGGATCACGAGGTCAAGAGATCGAGACCATCCTGGCCAACATGGTGAAACCCCGTCTCTACTAAAAAATACAAAAATTAGCTGGACGTGGTGGCGCGCGCCTGTAGTCCCAGATACTCGGGAGGCTGAGGCAGGAGAATTGCTTGAACCCAGGAGGCGGAGATTGCAGTGAGCGAAGATTGTGCCACTGCACTCCAGCCTGGTGCCTGGCGACACAGCAAGACTGTCAAAAAAAAAAGGAGCAACCCAGGTAATCCTAACGTAGGTAGACGGTGGCCCACCCGTTCCATAACCATGGTGTGGACAAACGGGTTTTAGTCCTTTCTTGCTTCAAACCTTCCTTAACCTCCCCAAAACGGAGGTTAGCACATCTTCCTTTGTGACCCTGCTCAGTATTCTTTACTTAGGTTGGGCAAATTATTTAACCTATTACCCTGTCTGCAAAGGGGTAATAATAATGGCATCTATTTCGATGGTGTTAGGAAGATGGAACCAGATAGTCACAAAAAGTGCTTAGCAAACTGCCTGATTCTAGGAGTGCAAAACGTTTATTGAGGGGGAAAAAAAGCTGCTTGATTTACAGAAGGAGCTCTGTAAGCATTAGTTCTTGCTGTGCAATTGAGGAACTGAATTTCTTAGACTTAATTTTTCTTTTTTTGAGACTGAGTCTTGCTCTGTCGCGCAGGCTGGAGTGCAGTGGTGCGATCGCGCACTACAACTTCAGACTCCCGGGTTCAAACAATTCTCCCGCCTCAGCCTCCTCAGTAGCTGGGTAGCTGGGATAACAGGAACCTGCCATCATGCCTGGCTCATTTTTGTATTTTTGTAGCACAGGGGTTTCACTGTGTTGCCCAGGCTGGTCTTGAACTCCTGACCTCAGGTGATCTACCCACCTCGGCCTCCGAAAGTGTTGGGATTATAGGCATGAGCCACTGCAGCCAGCCCAGACTTAATTTTAATAAATATAATAATGGCTGGGCGCGGTGGCTCATACCTGTAATCCCAGCACTTTTGGAAGCTGAGGCAGGTGGATGACAAGGTCAGGAGTTCTAAACCAGCCTGGCTAACATGGTGAAACCCCATCTCTACTAAAAATACAAAAATTAGCCTGGTGCAGTGGCGGGTGCCTGTAATCCCAGCTACTCAGGAGGCTGAGGCAGGAGAATCACTTGAACCTGGGAGGTGAAGTTTGCAGTGAGCCGAGATCGCATGGTTGCACTCCAGCCTGGGCAAGAGTGAGACTCCATCTCAAAAATAAATAAATTAATTAAATAAATAAATTTATTTATTTAAATAGCCACATGTGGATAGTGACTGCTCTATTGGACAGTGCAGGTCAGTAAATGTTTATTGAATGGGAAAAAATGAATGCACCAGTATATGTGATGACTTGAAAGCAAGTGGAGAGTACAGAGAAGGAAGAGAATAGTAGACTCAGTTGATAGATGCCCTCAGAAGCTGTCTATTTTAATCCCTGTCCAGTACTTAAATTCCTTCTCCAACGTTACATCTTACTGGAAAAATTCTCTTTCATTTTGGATGTTCTCTTTGTCACTTTCACCCCTAGGTCCTTACCTCTTGGTGCTATGACTCAAGGAGCTAATCACTCCAATACAAAGAATCTACTCAGATATTTAGCCAGGTGTGGTGGTGCAGGCCTGTAATCCCAGCTACTCGGGAGGCTGAGTCAGTAGAATCACTTGAACCCAGGAGGCAGAGGTTGCAGTGAGCCGAGATCGCGCCATTGCCTCCAGCCTGGGGCGACAGAGCGAAACTGCATAAAATAAAAAATAAAAATCCGCTCAGATATTTGAAGGTAGTAATTGTGGCTGTCTTTCCCCCATAGCTTTTACTTCTCCACTTCTCCAAGGCGAACAGTTCTTTATAATGCAATTTACTAGAGTATTATTGGAAAAGTTACTCAGCCTCATCTGAAGATGGATAATTGTTGTATGCACCTCACAGGGCTGTTGTGGGGATCAAGTAAGATAATGTATAAAAATGTGCTTAGCACAGTGCCTGGCGTTTAAAAAGTAGTCAACAGGCTGGGTGCGGTGGCTCTACCTGTAATCCCAGCACTTTGGGAGGCCGAGGCGGGCAGATCACGAGGTCAAGCGATCGAGACTAGCCTGGCCAACATGTTGAAACTCTGTCTCTACTAAAAATACGCAAAATAAGTCGGGTGTGGTGGTGGGTCATCCCAGCTACTGGGGAGGCTTAGGCAGGAGAATAGCTTGAACCTGAGTGGCGGAGGTTGGAGGGAGCTGAGATTGCAGCACTGTATTCCAGCGTGGGTGACAGAGTGAGACTCCGTCTAAAAAAAAAACAAAAAAGTGGGGCCAGGCGCGGTGGCTCAAGCCTGTAATCCCAGCACTGTGGGAGGCCGAGGCGGGTGGATCACGAGGCCAAGAGATCGAGACCATCCTGGTCAACATGGTGAAACCCCGCCTCTACTAAAAATACAAAAAATTAGCTGAGCATGGTGGCGCGTGCCTGTAATCCCAGCGACTCAGGAGGCTGGGGCAGGAGAATTGCCTGAACCCAGGAGGCAGAGGTTGCGGTGAGCCGAGATCGTGCCATTGCACTCCAGCCTGGGTAATAAGAGCGAAACTCCGTCTCAAAAAAAAAAATAAAAAAGTGAATTGAATGAGGTCAGCACTGGCGAACTATACACATGGGCACGGTGATGATTATTATAATCTAGATAAACCCAATTCTTAAACATCTAACAAATGCAATATTCTATAACATATAGTAAATTGAGTTTCTCACAACAAACATGAAAAAACAGGCTTTGTAGTAATCCTATCTTTGAGGTTAAGTACTACATTCTATTAAGATAATCTCCATTTAAAAGGCAAATTATCATAGCAAGCAGACCTGCCAGAAACTCAATTTCGTGAAGACAAAATACAGAGTAAATATCTAACTTACACGGACCTTAACCAACCTGATTAGTGCGCTTTTGTATGTATGTGCATGCCCACCACTATAACTTACTTGTAAATATCAGTTTTCTCCCTCATATTTTCAGTGATAACTGAGAGCTTTGTATTCTAAAAAGCACTTGTGTTAGTGTCAATAAACTTCTTCCCTGCCCACACTTCTAATCAAATCTTATAGTAGTTTGTGACTTGCTGGGTTCATGGTTTTAATCAAGACAATCAAAGGATGTGGGGCTTACACTTTCCTTTTTTTTTTTTTTTTTGAGATGGAGTCTGGCTCTGTCGCCCCGACTGGAGTGTAGTGGTGCAATCTCGGTTCACTGCAACCTCCGCCTCCCAGGTTTGAGTGATTCTCCTGTCTCAGCCTCCCAGGTAGCTGGGATTACAGGCACCCGCCACCGTGCCTGGCTAATTTTTTGTAGAGACGGAGTTCTGCCATGTTGACCAGCCTGGTCTCGAACTCCTGACCTCAAGCAGTTCACCGCCTTCGCCTCCCAAAGTGCTGGAATTACAGGCATTCCTATTTTGAAATGCTGTGATTACTCTTATCAGTATCCTCACCATTGTCTTTGGTGCATCACTTGATCAAACACTTCCTGGCCTCGGCCCCCAATGCTGTTGTAAAATCTGGCCTTTCATTTCACCTGCCAGATACCGACATGGATCAGTTGTAAATCAATACCTGTTTCTTCAGCACAGCCACTGAGCAAGCTGGAGAAAGATGACCCCAGCTGGCTCTCAGCAATCAGCATCTCTCAGTGCCTTCTCCCATTGTCTGCGTCTACTAGTCCAAGTTTCTAATCCCTCCTGAAATGTTCTATGATACCTCTCAGCATAGGAGGCATTCACTGAGAAGTCAGACGGTCAGGAGTGGGGAGGGAGTCCGCTAACATCCATCTGTACACGTGGAAGCAGCTCCCACCCTGCTACCTGCTGCTCAGCTCTCCATCTGTATTTACCATCCGCTTGCTATTCCAGGATCCTGCTAACTCACCTCCTCCACTACGCCTTTAACTTCTCTACTAGCTTTTCCCTCCAAACACCCCTGGCCTGTCATCTCAGGAAGAAACCTCCACCTTGACCCCATATCCTATTCCAGCTTCTATCAGTCTCTCCTCCCCTCTCAGGAAGCTTCTGGAAAGAACACACTGCCCTTGCCCATACCACTTTCATTCCCATTATCTTATCAACCCAGGGCAGACCAACTTCTTCCTCATTTCTCCAAAGAAATTGTTCTGAAGCATTGAGCCAACTTGTACCTACCAGGGCTGGGAACTGTTTTAAATGCTGGGCCAGGCATGACTGCAGGCACTGTTTGGACGTCAACAACTTACTCTCCATCTCAATGAATGTTATCATAGTTCACTCAGCTGCCCAGTCCAGTCCTTTGTTTTTTTCATGAGATGGAGTCTCTCTCTGTTGCCCAGGCTGGAGTGCAGTGAGGCGATCTCTGCTCGCTGCAACCTCCACCTCCCAGATTCAAGCAATTCCCCCACTTCAGCCTCCATCGTAGCTGGGATTACAGGCACCTGCTACCACGCCCAGCTAATTTTTGTATTTGTAGTAGAGATGGGGTT